TGACTATGAGGTCTACTCCATTTCTTCTAAGGGATTCTTCCCCACAGTAGTAGCTGTGATGTAATGAATTAAATTCACCCATTGCGGTCCATTTTAGTTCACTAGTTTCTAAAATATTGATGTTCACTCTTTCCATCTCCTGTTTGACCAGTTCTAATTTACCTTGATTTATGGACCTAATATTTCAGACTCCTATGCAGTATTGCTCTTTACAGCATCAGACTTTACGTCCATCCCCAGTCACATCCGCAGCTGGGTGTGGTTTTTGCTTTGGCTCAGCCTCTTCACTCTTCCCAGAGCTATTTCTCTGCTCTTCTCCTGTAGCATACTGGGCACCTACCGACCTGGGGAGCTCATCTCTCAGTGTCCTATCTTTTTGCCTTTTCATACTGTTCATGGGATTCTCCAGGCAAGAATGCTGAAGTGGTTTGCCATTCCCTTCTCCAGTGGACCACGTTCTGTCAGAACTCTCCACTGTGACCCATTCGTCTTGGGTGGCCCTACACGGCATGGCTCATAGTTTCATTGAGTTAGACAACGCTGTGGTCCATGTGATCAGTTTGGCTCATTTTCTGTGATTGTGGCTTTTATTCTGTCTGCCCTCTGATGGATAAGGCTAAGAGGCTTGTGGAAGCTTCCTGATGGGAGGGACTGGCTGTAGGGGAATCTAGGTCCTGTTCTGATGGGCAGGGCCATGCTCAGCAAACCTTTAATCCAATTTTCTATTGATGGCTGGAGCTGTGTTCTCTTCCTGTATTTTGGTGTGAGGTCAAACTATGGTAGGGGTAATGGTTGTAATGGCGACCTCCTTCAAAAGCACTTTTGCCAGCACCCTCCGCGGCGCCCAGGACCTTGGTATTCAGTGCTCTTGACCCTGCAGCAGACCACTGTTGACCCATGCCTCTGCCAGAGATTCCTGGACACTCAGAGGTAAGTCTGGCTCAGTTTCTTGTTGGGTCACCACTCCTTTCTCCTGGGTCCTGGTGAGCACAAGGTTTTGTCTGTGTCTTCCAAGAGTTTGCTTCCCAAGTCCTGTGGAAGTTCTGTAATCAAATCCCACTGGCTTTCATAGTCAAATTCCCTGGGGGTTCTCTGTCCCTTTGCTGGATCCCCAGGATGGGGAATCTGTTGTGGGCCCTAGAACTTTTGCAACAGTATGAGAACTTCTTTGACGTAATTCTTCTCCAGTTTGTGGGTTGGCTGCTCAGTGGCTTTATGGTGGGGCTAATTGTGACCTCCTCCAAGAGGGTTTATGTCCCACACAGTGCCTCCCAGATCTGTCGCACAGTGCCTGTTCCCACGGCAGCCACTGCTGATCCCTGCCTCTGCAGGAGACACTCAAACACTCAGTCTCTCATGGAGTCTCTGGGTCCTGGTGTGCACAAGGCTTGGCATGAGCCCTCTGAGCGTCTCTGGCGTGTGTGGTGTTTGATTCTAAACACAATTTTGCCCCTCCTACTGACTTTTGGGGGCATTTCCTTTGCCCTTGGATGTGGAGTATCTTTTTTTGGTGGGATCCAACATTCTCCCGTCAACGGTTGTTCAGCAGCCAATTGCAATTTTGGAGTTCTCACAGAAGAGGAGCACACATCCTTCTAGACCATCATCTTGAGACCCAGGCCATAGGAGGCTAGTAAGACAGGTGGTCCAGAGACTTCAGTTACTGTTAATAAGGTCTAGTCCAGTAACAATACACTGAGTGGCCTGTCAATGAAATCATTTCCAGAACTGGGAATGAGCATTCCTAGCACAGTGGGATGAAATGGTCATGAAATGCCCCCCAAACCTTGGTCAAATTCATGACCATGAAGGGACCCTGCCAACTGGAAACTGGCACTTGCCAACCATCTCTACAGGATTAATTCATGAACCACTATAGCTGCTGACCTTCAATACCCTCTGAAAGGAGTTCAGGGTGGAGATCAGCAAAGAGGAACTCTGTGCTCTGGGAAGACTGACAGAACAGGCCTTCAGATAGTCAGGTACTCTCAGGTAAGGATGTTTATAAGCCAAATTCTTTCAACTTCTCATACCTAGAAAAACACTAAAATCATTAATGGTGACATCTGTTTGGGCTATTCAGGAAAAAATTACAATTAGAAGTCGAGAGCAAAGAACTGTGGTTCAGACATCCAAGGTAATACTAGAGGGCACTGCAGGTGTGATTTGACACAACTTCTTGTATTGCTGAGAACTTCAATTTTATGAGCTGCATCAGATTTGAGGCCATCAGCCATTCTCAAGACAACACCAGCTGGCAGCCGGTGGCTGAGCCTGACATTTTCAAGGTCTCGTCTTGTACCTATTACATTTGAGACAATGAAATTGCTTTAGTCTGTATATTAGCAAAGAGAAGAAATGTGTATGATGACAAATAGTGCCTATTATTTATTTGTTAATACCAAATTAAAGGTTAAAACTTGCTTAGATAAAACCAGACAACTGGTCACCTGGCTATAAGTCTCTTTGAAATACCAGGTCCAGACTGGGTTTCAGGCTTTCTCTCCTGAAAGCAAACAAGACTGGTTTTGTTGACTAACCTCAAGGTTGTCCAACTACTTCTAACTGGGCCTACTAAACCCACATGCATCACAGTGGGCTAATAAAAAGGATATGTAAAATGTATTTGACCATGCCAAATGGCTCCATTCCTTTGGACAAGGTGATCCAAGCTCTGACTCTACTGCGTCACAATCAAAAAAAATCTTACCAAACATAACCATCTTACTCCTACCTGGGCCCCTGGTTAAGTTCTTACTCCTACCTGGGCCCCTGGTTACAATATATTTTTCACTGACTTCTGATCCCGTCATCATTTAATCCATGTGCTTAGTTTATTCTCTTTAGAGCACTACAGTCTTCTAGGCAAGATGACAGTGATGCAGAGATTCCAGCAACTCATCAGAACAGATCCTTTCAAAATAACAACAGCAGTCACCTGGGCCCCTTAATAAGACAAGGCAAAAACTCCATGAACCCCAGCTAGGTGGGGTCTATGAACCCATGCCAGCCTGAAGAAGCTACAGAAGAGAGACCTTCACCCTTCATCTTCCAAATAAACACTTCTCGGGGTTCTCATCTCTCAGAGGGATTTGAGGTGGGAGAGAGAAGAGCCCCAAGGCTGAGCAGGTGGAGTTTGCCATGCACAGTAAGTGATTCCCTGACACTCCAAAGACAAAGCTAGTGGCAGGAGCTGAGCTCAGCTGAGATAGAGATATGAAGACCCCATCTATCAATCAGGGAAGCCTCCCCAACTGTACTTGTGCAGGAAGGCTCCTTGAGGGTCATAAAAGGAGGGCACCACCCCATAATAAATGTTATCAACCTCCTGCTACCCATGCACTGAAATCTTTCTTGGTGAAAAGATTCACATGCATAAGGGCAGGGCCCAAGGACAGGTCAAATATGGGTAAAGAGGTGAAATAATCAGCCAAAGGAGAACAAAACCCAGAACTGCCCCATAGACGTGAGTCAACATAGACATGAGCCAACATACACGAGTCAACATACACATGAGTCAGCATACATGTGAGTCTACATACACGTGAGTCAACACACACATGAGTCAACATAGACATGAGTCAACACAAACTTGAGTCAACATACATGTGATTCAACACACATGTGAGTCAACATACATGAGAATTTACATACACATGAGTCAACACACACATGAGTTAGCAACCTCTTCACTGCACTCCTCCCATTAAGAAGGATGCCCACACTCTTTCTCTCCAGGCTAGCATTTCTGCCTTGCTGTCTTGAATAAATAAACCTCTTCTCTGTGTGCTTTCCACATGTTGTGCTGTGTCTCTAATCATGAACTTCACACCTGTATTTACAGTGTTTGCCTCCTTGGAACATTCGTGCTTTCAAATGAGGCAAGAGCCAGGCGATCCTTCCTTCTAGTCCCCAGGCCCTGGTGCTCTAGCAGCTAGGACTCTGGGATTTCATCCAGGCTATGCAGGTCCAATTCCAGGGCAGGGAACTAAGCTCCTGCTTCAGGACTGCTTCCTTCTGTCTCTCCAAGGAAAAGACCTCCACCCGCAGCACTTCTGGGGTGGGGGCTATAGTGTCTCCCAATCCCAGGCCTACTGCTCTATCTATGGGACAGCCAGAGTACACGTGGGGCCTAGGGTGCCCTAGAGCATTTCAAGACACTAGAAACAGAGGGACCCTGTCATCCACACACAGGGAGGTCGCTGTGCCCACACCCAGCAGTGGAGGGGCTGCACCATGTCTCTTAGCTGGACAGTCACTTTGGGCCCCAGTAACCACCATGACTGCCAACAGGCGACAGCTATGGCCAGGAGAACAGCTGCCCTCTGACCATAGATGTTGTTCGGGCCTCTGTCAGATATCGGGGCCATAGAAGAAGGCGGGGAGCGGGGGAGAAGAGAAGAGTCAGGACCCAGATGAAGACAGAGGTCTAGAGGAAAGTCCATCCTGGCTGGTGGACAAGACATGACCTGAGGCTGAGCCACATGCAGGGCACGACACTCTCCAGGGTTGCAGAGGAACCCACCAGGGCTGGGAGGCCCAGAGGGCACAGGCGAGGGGCCCAGACCCTGGGGTGTGGAGGTTCAACCAGCATAATCCCAGTGGAAGGTGGAAAGCTGTGACAGCTGGGGTTCCCACTCCTCCCCTGGGTCCCAGGGCACTGTTCAAACCACCCCACTCACCCACAAGATGCACCTCAGCTGCATCTGGACTCCCCCAGGCCCTCTGAGGCAGAAACCACCCAGAAGAAAAGGGAACTTCAGGAAGCAAGTTGTGCCACCAGGTTTCAATCCACTTCTTAGTGTTTGGAGAGTTGCGGGCAGGGAGTTCACACCTCGGGGGACTGGTGACCAAGTCCTAGGGAGCGTGGTTGCAGACACAGCGCACAGACTCCAGGAGCCACATGTGTCTGGGGCCAGAACAGGGAAGGGGCTCAGAGCCCCAGGCTGCAGGGAAGCCCCCTCCACGACCCCCACCATGGGTGAGTGGGGGCTCCAAGGATGAGCGAACACAGGAATGAGAGCCCTGCAGGGAGACCGGCCTCGGGACCCCCGGAGGAGCTGGAGCAGCCGAGCCGGGCCCGGGGGAGGCAGCTGCCCCTGGTCACGGTGTGGGACGAGTGCAGGGACGGAACCCGGGGATGGAACCTGGGTAGAGTGCACTGCACCAAGAGCGCTGCTGCCCGGGGCTGGGGAGCTCGGGGGGGCTGCCAGGCCGTCGAGGAGCAGGACGGGCTGGGGGACAGGCGGGGAGGGCTGTGCGGGACCAGGTGCTCTGGAGGCCGGGGCTGGGCAGGCAGGAGGACCAGCCAGGATGGAAGGAGAGTCTGATGTGAGGACACAGGGAAGGGAGAGGACCCCAGGGCAGTGAAGGCTCTTGGACAGGCCCGTGGAGCCGGCGTGGGTCCCAGGGCAAGGCCATGGGCGGTGGCTGTGGGTCCCGACTGGGCTGGGGCCGAGCACAGTGGCAGAGCCAGGCACAGGGCTGCAGGCTGGCCGTGCTCTGTGTCCACAGCGGGCAGCACAGGGCTGAGCCCACAGCCCCCGGGATGCAGCGGGCTGACCAGAGCATGGAGCCCGAGGACCAGGAGCGGGAGCTGGGCAGAGGGCAGGTGACCAAAAACTGGAGGCAGCAAGGGGCCAGAGGAGGGCGTGGGTGGAGGGACAGAGAAGAGCGGAGGGCAAGGGCAGGACCTCCACTGGGAGGGGCCCAGGTGGACAGAGCGCCTCCAGGGGAGAGCTTCCCGGAGGCCGCGGGGCACCTGGCAAGTCCAGGGAGGAGAGCTGAGCCCAGGAAATAAAGGAGTGAGGACTGGAGCTGGGCAGGAGTGAGGAGTCCTGGAAGGGCCAGAGGGGCAGGGGAGGCTGAGATGACAGCCCTAGGGACAGGGGACAGCAAGGCAGCAGGTGAGCAGGGGCTGGGAGGTCAGGGGGAGCCCCTGAGATCTGGGGGAGCAGGTACAACTTGTAGGTGACCTGGGGCTGGGAGGATGGGGAGAGCCCCTGGAGATTTGGGGGAGCAGGTACAGCTTGTGGGGTAGCAGGAGACTGCAAGGACAGGGGGTGTACCTGGAGATTTGGGGGAGCAGGTAGAGCTTGTGAGGGTGAGCAGTGGCTGGGAGGACAGGGGGTGCACCTGGAGATCTAGGGGAGCAGGTACAGCCTGTGAGGGTGAGCAGGGGCCTGGGAGGGCAGAGGGTACCTCAAGAGCTTTAGGGGAGCAGGTAGAGCTTCTGGGAGTGAGCAGGAGGCAGATAGGACAAGGGGCACCCCCAGAGCTTATCGGGGCAAGTACAGCTTGTGAGGGTGAGCAGGTGGCTGGGATACAGAGGGGAGCCCCTGGACATTTGGGGGAGCAGGTACAGCTTGTGGGTAAGCTGGGAGCTGGGAGGACGGAGGGTGTACCTGGAGATTTGGGGGAGCAGGTACAGCTTGTGAGGGTGAGCAGGGGCTGGGAGGACAGGGGGCAGCCCCTGGGGCTTTGGGGGAGCAGGTACAGCTTGTGAGGGTGAGCAGGGGCTGGGAGGACAGGGGGCAGCCCCTGGTGCTTTGAGGGAGCAGGTACAGCTTGTGAGGGTGAGCAGGGGCTGGGATTTCAGGGGGCAGCCCCTAGTGCTTTGAGGAGCAGGTACAGGTTATGAGGGTGAGCAGGGGGCTGGGGGGGCAGGGGGAGCCCTGGTGCTCTGGGGGAGCAGGCACAGCTCATGAGGGTGAGCAGGAGGCTGGGAGGGCAGGGGGAGCCCCGGGTGCTTTGTGGGATCAGGTACAGCTTTTGGGGGTGAGCAGGAGGCTGGGAGGGCAGGGGGTGTCCCTGGTGCTTTGGGGGAGCCAATACAGCTTGCAAAGGTGAGAAGGAGGCTGGGAGGGCAGGGGGACCCCTGGTGCTTTGGGGGAGCAGGTACAGTTTGTGAGGGTGAGCAGGGAACTGGGAAATCAGGGGGAGCCCCTGGTGCTTTGGGGGAGCAGGTATAGCTTGTGAGAGTGAGCAGGTACTGGGAGGGCAGGGGGTGCCCCTGGTGCTTTGGGGGAACTGGTACAGCTTTTGGGGGTGAGCAGAGCATGGGAGGAGAGGGGGTTTCCCTAGTGCTTTAGGGGAGCAGCTACAGCTTTCGAGGGTGAGCAGGAGGCTGGGAGGACAGGGGATGCTCTGGTCTTTGGGGGAGTAAGTACAGCTGTTGGGGGTCACCAGGGCCTGGGAGGACAGGGGGCCCCTGGTACTTTGGGAGAGCAGGTACAGCTTTTGGGGGTGAGCAAGGGGCTGGGAGGACAGGGGGAACCCCTGGAGATTTGGGGGATCAGATACAGCTTGTGAGATTGAGCAGGGGGCTGGGAGGGCAGAGGGAGCCCCTGGATATTTGGGGGAGCAGGTACAGCTTGTGGGTGAGCTGAAGGCTAGGAGGACAGAGGGTGTACCTGGAGATTTGGGGGAGCAAATAGAGCTTGTGAGGGTGAGCAGTGGCTGGGGGACAGGGAGTGCCCCTGGATATCTGGGGGAGCAGGTACAGCTTGTGAGGGTGAGCAGGGGCTAGAAGGACAGGGAGGAGCCCCTGGTGCTTTGGGGGAGCAGACACAGATTATGAGGGTGAGCAAGGGCTGGGAGGACAAGGGGGTCCCTGGTGCTTTGAGGGAGCAGGTACAGCTTGTGAGGGTGAGCAGGGGCTGGGAGGGCAGGAGGTGCCCCTGGAGATTTGGGGGAGCAGGTACAGCTTGTGAGATCGAGCAGGGGGCTGGGAGGGCAGGGTTACCTCAAGAGATTTAGGGGAGCAGGTAGAGCTTCTGGGGATGAGCAGGGGACTGGGAGGACAGGGGGTGCCCTTAGAGATTTGGGGGAGTGGTTACAGCTTCTGGGAATAAGCAAGGGGCTGGGAATTCAGGGAGCTCTCCCAGGGTTTTAGGGGAGCAAAGATTGTACAGCTGAGCAGGGGCTGGGATGTCAGGTCCCTGCCTACGAACTCAGCGGACCATGTGTGTGCTGAGCACTTCAGTAGGAAAGGCTCCTAGGGTGCAAGGGGCCGTTTGTGCTGTGGCGCCAGACGCAGGGACACTGGGCAGTGTGAGCCCTGCAGAGAAGATGGGTCCGAGAGCACAGCCGCCCGGAGCTGAGTCCAGAGGACTGAGACCAGGGGTGTGGGTGCTGGACGAGGGAGAGCGGCGGGGATCAGGGAGCAGGGGCCCAGGGCCAGGAGAGCTCAGGCCACAGCTGGTGAGGCAGAGGGCTGAGACAAGGGGTGTGGGCCGCCCCTCAAGCTAACGGGAATGCTGTTTGGTGGAGGGTCTGCATGGAGAACGATGCAAGGAGCAGCAAAGACCCAAGAGGAAGGGCTCTGGGGCTGCAGGGAAGGGGCGCCCTGAGGGCACCGAGTGGGCTGTACTTCCTGGGCCGACGGTCCGCCTGTCCCGGCAGCCTGTGTGGATCAGGAGCCAAAGTGGGGCCGGGCCTGGCACAGTGTGCTTGAAAGGGTGGTGCGAGTGGCCAAGGGGACATGGGGCGCCTGCTCGGTGGTCAGATGGGCTGCAGGCCCAGGAAGCTGACCAGGATGGGGGAGCAGGGGGCACGGGTCAGGCCAGGCACCCACTGGAGGGGAGCGGCCTCGGGGCTCTGATCCAGGAGCCCACACTCACCGACCCCAGCTGTGTCCAGACACCCCAGCTGCCGCGCACAGAGCAGGGTGGCCAGACCATGCCGGCCGGTCGTCAGACTCTGGAAGCACATGGTGGCTGGTCTCAGCCGTGCCCCAGGCCTGGGCACCTGAGGTCCTGCCGGACCCAGCATTCACCCAGCCTCCTCTCTCACAGCCTCCACCACAGCCCCGAAAGTCTACCCTCTGGATTCTTGCTGTGGGGACACGTCCAGCTCCACCGTGACCCTGGGCTGCCTGGTCTCTAGCTACATGCCCGAGCCGGTGACCGTGACCTGGAACTCAGGTGCCCTGACCAGCGGTGTGCACACCTTCCCGGCTGTCCGGCAGGCCTCCGGGCTCTACTCTCTCAGCAGCATCGTGACCGTGCCCGCCAGCACCTCAGGATCCCAGACCTTCACCTGCAACGTAGCCCACCCGGCCAGCAGCACCAAGGTGGACAAGCGTGTTGGTGAGAAGACAGGCCCCGGGGAGGTTGTCCACTCCAGGAGATCAGGGTCAGCCCCCCTGCCTGCAGGACCCCACCCCAGGGATAACGTGGACCAGGCCCCTCGTGTCAGGGGAGGCCTGTCTGTCTTCCTCTCCTGAAAGTCTTCAGGCTTGGGGAGGGGGTCGTCTGGAGTTTCCACCACATCCAGGGTGGCCTCAGGCTGGACAATGTCCACCCGCCTGGACCCACAGAGGCGGGCCCTGGGCTCAGACCTGCCAAAATCCTCCCCTGCCCTAAGCCCAGCCCCTGGCTTCCTGCTCCTGGTAACCTCCAGTCTGCTTTCTCTGCAGAAGTCCCCAGTAGCAGCTCCAAGTGTCATAAACAGACTTGTAAGTCGGAAAACCTTATTCTCCATCCTACGGATGTGGACAGCACCCAGGAGGACTCGGGGTGTGGGGGTCGAGGGGGATGGCTGCCTGAAATAAATGAAACTCCGATACTAATCCCCTGCCATGTCTCTGCCACTAGGCGTGAGGGGACCGTCTGTCTTCATCTTCCCCCCAAAACCCAAGGACACCCTGATGATCACTGGAAAGCCTGAGGTCACGTGTGTGGTGGTGGACGTGGGACAGGATAACCCCGAGGTCAAGTTCTCCTGGTTCGTGAATGACGTGGAGGTGCACACGGCCAGGACAAAGCCGAAAGAGGAGCAGTTCAACAGCACCTACCGCGTGGTCAGCGCCCTGCCCATCCAACATGATGACTGGAGTCAGGGAAAGGAGTTCAAGTGCAAGGTCAACAACAAAGGCCTCACGGCCCCCATTGTGAGGACCATCTCCAGGAGCAAAGGTGGGCCAGGTGGACGGGCCTAGGAGGGTCCTGTGGGCCAATCAGAGTGACCGCTGTGCTAACAGCCTTTCCTGTCCCCACAGGGCAGGCCCTGGAGCCGCAGGTGTACGTCCTGGCCCCACCCCGGGAAGAGCTCAGCAAAAACACGGTCAGCCTCACCTGCCTGATCACCGGCTTCTACCCAGACTACATCGCCGTGGAGTGGCAGAGAGACCGGCAGCCTGAGTCGGAGGGCAAGTACGGCACGACCCCACCCCAGCTGGACGCCGACGGCTCCTACTTCCTGTACAGCAGGCTCAGGGTGAACAAGAGCAGCTGGCTAGAAGGAGACAGCTACACGTGTATAGTGATGCATGAGGCTCTGCACAATCACTACACAGAGAAGTCCATCTCTAAGTCTCCGGGTAATTGAGCCACACGTCCCTGCACCAGCAAGCCCTCACCCACCCCACCCCCCGGGCTCCAGGTCCAGTCAGGACCCCCAGCCCCTCCCTGTGTGCATTCCTCCTGGGCCGCCATGAATAAAGCACCCAGCGCCGCCCTGGGACCCTGCAACGCTGTGCTGGTTCTTTCCGAGGCAGAGCCCTGGTGACTGCCAGGCCTGCGGGGGGTGGCTGGGCCGACTCTGGGCCACTTTGTTCACCATTTTGGGGGGATCTGACTCCCAATCCCCAAGGCCAGACACACACTGAGTGGGTCCAGCAGGCCACCTGGGGGCTGCCCGAGGCCGCGGAGGGGCTTGGCCAGAGGCGCAGCTCCATGGCCCCCTCCAGCCACCACCTGCCGGGCCGGACTCTGGACAGGAATGGGGGAAGCCCCCGAGACCCTCAGGGATTGAGGCCCAATGCTTCCCGCCTCTGCTTCAGCCCACGCTGTGGGGCAGGGCCTGCCGGAGCCCTGAACGTCCAGGCCAGGGACCTACCTGCTCCCTGCGGCCTCTGAGCCCAGAGCCCCGCACACACACAAGACAGCCCACACCCAGCCTCCTCCACACACACTCAGGTGCCCACCTGAGCACAGTTCAGCCCCGTCACACACCCACGACCCCTGCACACACTCAGGTCTCACACTCAGGTATCCATGGGGCGAACCCCCAGGCCCAGACCCAGAGCTGGTTCTCGTGAGCCCTCACAGTGGACACCAGCTGGTCCCCACCCTCCAGCGCCCATGGGCTTCTCAGCAGCCCTTCCCCACACTGACCACACTGACCAGATCAGACATCCGTCCCTCGCCTCCCCTGGGGCACCCACGCCCCTCCCTCGCAGGCTGAGATCCCCCCTCAGCCCCTCAGCCCGGCACCCTCACCCTCGGGCACCGGGACACAGCCCGGCGCTGTCTGCCCTCCCTCCCCAGGGCCAGGGCCCAGGCACATGTGCTCTGCTGACCCTCCCAGTTCCGCTGACCCTCCTGGCTCCAGGCCTGGCCCCCAGGGCAGAGAAGGCCGGGAACTGAGCCTCTGTCCTGCGGGGAGGTGGGATCTGGGCCCCAGGTCAGGGCGCAGCTCAGGATGGGAGCAGGACCCCACAGGCCAGGCCCAGACAGCGGCCAGGGCTGGAGGGGTGGGGGCTGGGGCTGGGGCCCAGAGACTGACCTCAGGTGACCCCTGCCCAGCCCACCTTCCCCCCAGAGGGAGCCCTGCCCCGAGGCCCCGATGACCCTGCCCAGCCCCCCGTGGGCAGAGACAGCACTGACCACCCCTCCCTGTGCAGACCTGCGCCTGGAGGAGGAGAGCTGTGCGGACGCCCAGGACGGGGAGCTGGACGGGCTCTGGACGACCATCTCCATCTTCATCACGCTCTTCCTGCTCAGCGTCTGCTACAGCGCCACCGTGACCCTCTTCAAGGTGGGGGGACACCCCACTGGGCCCTCGGGCCCCCTGTCTGTCCCCAGGGTCCCCTCAGTGTCCCTCCCCGTCCACTGACTGTCCCTCACTGCCCACTCACTGTCCACTCCCTGTCCCTGGGAGCAGCCCAGGTGAATTCCAGGCTGCACTCATCCCACTCCCCCCGACAGGTGAAGTGGATCCTCTCATCAGTGGTGGAGCTGAAACAGTCGATCACTCCCAACTACCGAAACATGATCGGGCAGGGCGCCTAGAGCTCCTGTGGGCCACGTCCGGGGCCAACCCAGACCTGACTGGACCACTTCCGTCTGCTCGTGCCTCTCAGCCTGTGCCAGGTCTGTTCCATTGCCTTATGAACTCGCTGACCCTTGAGCTCACAGCCACTTTTGCCTGTACCTCAGAACTCTGGCATTGTGGCCACCACTGTCTGCCCCAGCCCCCCTCACAGACCTGAGTGGACAGCAGGTGATGCCCCAACCTGAGCTGATGGATGCCAAGGACCTCTGCACAGCTTGCAAGACACCATTGCTGTTACATGCCCTACTAAGAATGCATGTGTCCAGGGCTGTCTGCACAGGGCACCGGCATCTTGTCCAGGCCGGGATCCAGACCAAAGATCCCTGGAGGAAGCCTCTGTGTCAGATCCTTGGGAACAGATGTCCTGCAGGGACCCAGCCTCCCAGCAGGGAAGCTCCTGGGAATACCACTAATGGTTACTCAGGTCACCTCCACTAAGGACGCTGCTACAAGCAGGGCCTGGGCCCACGGCTTCTGCAGGAGCCCTGGTGGGGGAAGGGGTGACGTCCAGCCAGACGGACAGCCTGGAGAGGGGCCTGGTGACTGGTCCCCAGTGCACAGAGCTGGAGGGTCTCCCAGAATACAGGACGGCAGGGCAGCCAGTCCATCCTGTGGCCAACAGCCTGACGTGTCCCGCAAGAGCTCAGCCTACACCGAGGGCGGGGGTGAGAGGCGAGACCAGAGACCCACAAAAGCCAAGCCCCAGGCCCCGGAGCCCTGCCTCGCCTCCCAGTACAGACTCTCCCGTCATTGCAGTAATGTGCATGGGTGTCTCTGGATGGGAGGCACTGCCCCCAGGACTGGAAGGAAGGACCACAGTCTCGGAGCTTGGGAAGCTTCTTCTGTATAATGTGGGGGCCTGTTCATTCTCTTTGCTGTCTCTTTATCTGTTTAATGACAATAAAGCAACTGGGCAGTCTCCGTATGTTGACACACCTTCTCCCTTCGCAGAGTCCACAGCCTGGCCGCCCCACCCCCACTGGCCCCTAGGCTTCCTGCCCCCCTCCACCTGCACCTAGAGTCCCTGTTCCCTATCCCTACCTGACCCTGGGGTGCCTGCTCCACACCCCATCCCCCCATGGTGTCTGCCCCACACCCCACACCCACTCTTGGGCATCCCACCCCCACCCCCAACCACCCCTGGCGTTGCTGCCCCCACCCCATACACACCCCTAAGGCTCCCACTCCCCCTTGCAGGCAGAGGCCAGCCTGGCTCCAGGGGAGCCACAGACAAGTGCCCTGTGTTGGGTGGTCAGCACAGGAGGCTGTAAGAAACACCACAGGGCACCCCTCCTCACACATTCCCTCTGTCAATTTTAAAGCATTCACAACCGAAAAATTAAGAGTTATGTTTAACTGGGTGGGAATTTTTAGGACTTCATGCCCGGGTGCAGCACCTCAAGCACCCTGAAAGAACTGCTATGAGGGCAGGGGAGGAGACTGCAGTAGAAGTTTGCAACAAAGGGCAGGCAAGCTGAGTGTCGAAAGGTTATTGTTAATTAAATAAAACCAGAAGCCCGAGTTAAGGGGTTTAGCGCTTTTCTGTATACCTGAAGATATGAGTCTGGGTTCGCTGTCAGGGTTCTTTCGTATGCACCTTAGCTATCCTGGGGCCAGCACCCTGCGTTTTCACATCCTGAGTTCCCTAGGACTCACCATAGGGAGAGGCTGCAGCCTGCAGGCTTCTAGAAGGCAACTGTTCTTCTCTCTCCTGAGTGCCCTCAGGGCCACTGGCTCACCCTGGAGGGCTGCAATCGCTGATAACCGTGGCATTCTCATTTACGGATAGGGCAGGAAATACTCCATTTCTCACCCTAACTCGGCACATTCCCCATGATGCCCAAAGCCCAATGGGGCTGCTTGCCCTTGAGCCACTCCAGCTGAACCCATGTGAGCCTGAGGTCACGGTCACACACACACACACACACACACACACACCCCTCTGTCAGGGTGTCGCCTCCTGTGCACACACCTCCATCTGCATCTACACACACACACACACCCCCCCCTCTGTCACGGTGTCAACTACTGTGCACACACCTCCATCTACATCTACACACACACACATACACCCCTCTGTCAGGGTGTCGCCTACTGTGCACACACCTCCATCTACATCTACACACACACACACACACCCCTCTGTCAGGGTGTCACCTACTGTGCATACACCTCCATCTGCATCTACACACACACACACATCCCTCTGTCACGGTTTCACCTACTGTGCATACACCTCCATCTGCATCTACACACACACACACATCCCTCTGTCACGGTTTCACCTACTGTGCATACACCTCCATCTGCATCTACACACACACACACACCCCTCTGTCAGGGTGTCGCCTACTGTGCACACACCTCCATCTGCATCTACACACACACACGCCCCTCTGTCATGGTGTCACCTACTGTGCACACACCCCATCTGCATCTACACACACACACACCCCGTCTGTCACGGTGTCACCTACTGTGCACACACCTCCATCTGCATCTACACACACACACACACACCCCTCTGTCAGGGTGTCACCTCCTGTGCACACACCCCATCTGCATCTACACACACACACACACACCCCTCTGTCAGGGTGTCACCTCCTGTGCACACACCCCATCTGCATCTACACACACACACACACACACACACCCCTCTGTCACGGTGTCACCTACTGTGCACACACCTCCATCTGCATCTACACACACACCCCTCTGTCAGGGTGTCACCTCCTGTACACACACCTCCATCTGCATCTACACACAGACACCTGTCAATGTCATCTGGCATATGCACGCCTCCATCTGTGTCTATAGACACACACACACAACTGTCAGTGTTTCACCTCCTGTATACACACGCCCATCTGCATACACACACCTATCAGTGTGTCCAGTCCTGTACATACATCTCCATCTTCAATGACACACACACACACCTGTCCTGCCCTCCAGGCCACAGAACTTTCTGGACTCAGGCTACATGGGGCCACATGGGAGGACATGGCAGTGACCTGCTAAAGGACAGGTTTCGAAACATGGTCTGAGGATGAGCAGATACATAAAAGACACTTCTCACAGTTTAACTCATTCATTAGTGGGTCACACCCAGTTCAAAGGAGAATTCAGATTATCACATGTAATATAGTAAAATCAAGGATGCAGAAATGAGTTGGCAGGGACTTCCTTGGTGATCCAGGGGTTAAGATTCCACCTTGCAATGCAGGGGACACAGGTTAGACCCTTGGTTGGGGAACTAAGATCACACATGCCGTGGTGCAACTTTGCCCGCACACCACAACTGCTGAGCCCACATGCCACAACGAAAGATCCCGTGCCAAGACTAAGAATGGCACAGCCAAATAAACGAATGCCTTCTGGAGGGGCATTCCTCACGGCTCAGTGGCAAAGA